AACATGCATTAGGAAAAAAAATCTTCATATGCCGAATTTAATGGTAGAATATTGTAGAATGATATATATTCAATGAAATACGTTCAGGAGCATACTGTAGAATATTTACGTATAAAGATATTTATTAATGCAAAAATTATAATGACAGTTTATATAAATATGAATTAATTAGAAGACATGTGATTAAGCAGAAACTGATGAATTCGACTTCATACGATTAATTCAAAGACGCGATTTTATGTACATGCATGAATTCAAAAAACATAAATCATAGATCATGCATATGTACATATATGAATTGACTAAACATGAATGAATATAGACGTGAATTGAAAAAGAAAGTTAGAATCCGACTGCAAGTTTGTAGCGTTATGATGTATGGTATATTAAAAAAAATTCACATGTCACCAAATTAATTTTGGTACATGTGATAGATGATTATGCTTAAAAAAATTACTATATTCACTAAATTTTGAAAAAAAATTAAGCTATCATGCTGATAATGTATTATGAAAAGAGAGAATAAGAGAAGTTAATAGACTTTTGTGTATTATAATGAGAACCAAAGCCATATATTTATAGGGAAGGAATGAGGATACGTATGGTAATAATATCTAGGGTTGTAGGGGTACAATTGTCATTCATCGATAACTTACTATTTACAAGTTACAACATATACTTTGTTTTTTTGTATTCTCACGACACGCTTGTGTATTTGAATATTGACGATTTTCCATTGAAGTTTTGTGGTTTTGATAGATATGAAAGCCACATCGTTAAGGTAAACGATAAACTAAAGAAGGGAAAAATTAAAAAAGTTGAAATCTTGTTTTTAATCATTGGGTTTAAACCAGGAAAAAGTTCAGATATATGTGTTTAATGAGATTTTAGCTACAACGAACCAAACACAAGAAAATTAATTGAAGAAACGCATGCCATCTCTTTCGCACGAGTAAATTTAATCAACACACATTGAACGTTTGTATTGTTACTACTTACTCACTTATCTTTACCCAATACTCACTCATCTTTTCATATAATTACCCATCCACCACTCATTTAACTCCTATCTCCCCAAATGGATGGAAAATAGAAATTCATATGTGGCAAGTATATTCTATTAAATCTTGACAACTCAACCCATTTTCATGTTAAATCTTGACAACTCAAATTTTGTTAGATATTTTTTCATCATTTTGCATGTTCATATTTTGTTTTGCGAATGTTTTGCCGCCTCGACTAGTGTTTGCCGCTACACAACGGGAATCGACCTGCCCGGTTAGGTCGCGGGGGTTGAGGGGGCGCCCCCGTGGGGGCTTGGGGGTAATGCCCCCGAAAGATAATTTTATTTTCAGAAGTCTTTGAATATGTATGATTCTTCCAACAGATGCGTCCGTTCATTTAAGGGGACACACCTATTCAAAAGGTTGCCTTCATTTCTATATATTTTGGGCGAATTCTCATTTGCACGACACATTAAAAAA